GATCGCCCGATTTCTGTACATCGCAGAGTGTGAGTGCTCTCTCTTTTTCTCTCTCCCCACACACACACCTCACACACACACACACACACACACACACTTCTCTCTCATACACACACTCATCCACACATACACCCTCTCATGATACATTTTTGCACTTTCCTTTGTATTTCCAGGGCGTTCTAAGCACACTGGGCGTTAGTGGTGTTGCAGTAAGACACTTTGCCATTACAATAATACATGCAAAAGACCTGAGATCCACTCCTGTGTGGGGAGAATTTTTTTCTCAGTCTTTCTGCTAGACTGCTGAATCGTATCTCTCTCAGATCAGGCTGGCCTCACTTACCAGGGAAGAAGCCTGCCTCCCAGATAATCTTGATTGTGTAGGTAGGGGCGTAAAATACGTTAATTCTTAAACATTCAAAAGCACTTACCATGGTTTTTGCTTGGAGTGAAGTTACAGGAGCCTTCTGGTGACTTTCTGCGTCTGAAAAACACAATCACAATAAATAAATAAATTATATAATAGATCCTCTAGATAGTTTTATCATGGTTCCTACAAACTTGCTACAGAATAAGTGGAACCTGTTTCATGTTAGATCACGTCTCTCACAGTACACAGTAGTACATTAAACTAGTTTCCTCTAGAGGCTCCCTGTGTCCAGCTATTCTACTGTACAAGCGGAAGAGAAGAGCACACTTTAAACGTGTGCTAGATCTAGATCTAGATCTTGTGTAGAAGAAGGCTACTTTGCGAGACAACATGAGGGAGATTATTATTGAGGTGGTAAAGGGTAAGCAAAGGTGACAGATAAGTAGATCTAGTCTAGATCTAGTAAGTAGAGATAAGGATTGGAGAACATTATTTACAAGGGAAAATGATTCTCGTCCACAGAGACAGGAAATTATTTTGATGAGGGTGAACCGAACAAGACAACTAACGAAAAAATATGTAAACACAGATCTAGGCAGATTATAACAGACGGAGAATGACAAGATTCAATAATATTATTATATTCACCTTCTCAAAAGAAGAATTATATAAAAAATGATAATGGAATTTAAAAAATGAGATCGAAAGAGGTCAAGAACACTGGGTCACATTCATTAAGCCCCGCCCCCTTTTTTCTGTTCCCTGTCACTGACTGACCTAGCTTATCTCTCCCCTAAAAGTGCGCATCATGAAGTATTACGTGATAAGGCGGCCATCGTAGTACGCATTTCTTTCATAAGAATAGCACTGGCGCGTTCATTTAACTAGAACTAGATGCTATCTAGATCTAGATTCTAGATTTAGATTTCTAGATACATTTAGGAAGGCGAAAGCCAACATAAACATAGGATAGGCCTAGAATCTAAACTGCCTTCAAACATGATCTCGCGCTCTTCGCTCTTAAGTAGAATCTAGTCATCTTGTACACAAACATGATCAGAGGCAGCACACAATTTGTTGGAAGCAGAAAAGTGTATGACAAAGAAGCACTGCTTCCAACAAATAGCTATTTCACAACTTTTTCTGTGCCAAAATCAAATCACTTGACTGGAAATTGGAAGTGCGTTAATATTTTCCGTCGGCGGATCGGACAATTGGGACATTGCGAGGGAATTGGGTCCTCATATCCGGTGTCCAGATTTCTTTCGCGAAGAAAACCAAACGTAATAGACCTAAGCTTACCAGGTAGGCTAGCTCTACACGATCTTTTCAGAAAGCCGACACACATATTCTGATAAATCTAGGCTAGGCCTACTTGACGTGTCATTAATTTATAGACCTTTTGTTCGCTATTTCACTGTACCCGCATGGCCCCCCCCCCCCCTTTCCTTTCTTGTTCCGTAGATTTTTTCCTCCTAACACTGCACTGTTTCTTTTCATAACACATGTTTTCATACCAAAAGCTACAGAACGTGTGAGGTTCTTGGCATATATTTATTTACTCAATATGTGAACATAATTTTGGTGACTAGGCCTAGATCTAGATCTATGTTCTCTGTGTTGAGTCCAATTATAGAGCTATCAAATTTTCTTGACACAGCTCATTGTCAAATATTTCCTAAACTATTGAACATAGACTCTCCAGCTTTTGTACAAAGACTTGTATCAACTTTTTAAATAGACCGTTATGCCTGTAACAAACACCTCATGCTGAACATTAAGTTATTATGTAGTGTTTACCGAAAGAAAGCAGGTAAACAATATGTGTGCGGCGTTCACAACTGAAGACGTCTTCTATTAAATTTCAGCTCAGTGTTGCCGAAGTACCCACTAGAGAATTTCATTTAAAAATCTTAGGACATAATAAAATGAACACGTATTTATTGCAACATCTGAGTGAAAATATGTGTGTATTACTTTCAATGTTCATTTTTACACCCTCATCGACACACAGTTTAGATCACTTCGGAGGCAGGCTTTCGACCCTGTATGTTAGAGGGTGATAACATCCTAGCCGAAAGGAAAGACTAAGGTGATAAATTAAAATCTCTCCACTCGGGAATTGAACTCCGGTCCCTGTGAGTGAAAGCAAAGCGCCTAACCGCTACACTACAAACTTCGGTGACATATAACTTTACCGATACGCCCCCCCCCAAAAAAAAACAACAACCAAAAACAAATCCCAAACAAAAACAACCCAACCCAACAACAACAACAACAACAACAAAACAATCATCGCTCCACACCAAAACGTCAGGCCACTTCGTGACAAAGTAGAAAGGACAAAAGGGCAATTGAGGCAGATGAACACACGTATCGATCTGTGACGTCAGAGGGCTTCTGTGTGTGTGTGTGTG